AACTTTTAGGTTAGCTCCTCTTGAAGCTAAATATTTGGAGAATTCTTAAAGTTCTGCAGAGATTTTTGTACTTTTCATTGAGTAAAACCAAACCACAGTAATTAACATACTTCTGTTTCCCTGTTTGACAAAGGGGAAGTGAAAGAGAACAGTATTGTAATGATCTCTCATGACTAAGATTTGCCTCTGTGAAGAAGCAAATTACCTCACGTGCTGCTGAAGTATTTCAGTCCCATAACAAAAGTATTGCCTTTGACTGTAATTGTCTACTTGTAAAAGCATTCAGGTCTGGTTTGTAGATCAGCTTTGTCACACAACTATTGATTTTTTTATTTTTTTTTTAAAGCCTTTCAGACTGAAGGGAAGCTCTATTTAATATTGGATTTTCTCAGGGGAGGAGATGTATTCACAAGATTATCCAAAGAGGTAAGTACCTAACATTTTATCTCCACTCACTCTTAGACAGGGGTTGGGTTTTGTTGCCTTTTAAAGCTGTTTCCCCCCATATTTCTTGTCATAGTCAAGTTTTTAATCACTTAGTTGGGCTTTTTCCATATTCTAGAACATACCCTATCCTTAAGAAACCTGAGTGTGTATTGATTAGTAGCCTAAGTTTTAATTTGGTGTCTGCAAAGTACAGTTCTTTTGTCTAAAAATGTTTTGTTGCTTGGAAACCTAAGTGAAGTAAATGAATATTTAGCACTGAAGAAAGGGGATACACAGTTCTCATGCTCTTAGTCAGCTTAGGTACTCCTGGAATGCTGCAGCCCTGAGAGATTTCTGCTGCATGGTAAAATTTCCTTGTGCTGTGCTACAAATCCTGATGGTTAATCCCTACGAAGGGTGAACACGCAGTGGGTTTGGGCCCTCTCCACCTAACCCTACACACAACTGGGCCTTTAATTTGTCATTTCTACTTTGGTTTTCTTGGGAAAAGAGGAATATGATGCAGCCTAGTGTTATTTTTCACCACATTTAGCATCAAATATTTATTCCATGTTACCTTAAGTGTTATAAACATGTTTAGAAGACTTTTCTCTTTTTTTTCTGTTTTTTTTGGCAAACCTTTTTAGAAAGATCTAAATTTTTAATGGCAGTTTCTCACCAGCTTCACACCAAGAGAGCTTTTCAGTGTTTTCACTAGTGTAAATCCATTTATATTGCTAAAGCACAGGAAAAACCACTTTCTTAAATGTGAAATCTGTGTTATCTGACAGGTTTTTCATGGCATGAAGGAGGGTGTTTATCCCCAGGATGTAAGGCCACAAAGTTGTTTTTTTTTCCCCATGTACTTATGTAGAAGTAAAACTTTATTTTAGGAACAGGCAAAAAAAAACAACCCAAAGAATTTAAAGGGTTTTTTTGTTTTCTCTTTGTGTAAAGAGCTGAGCTTGGTAAAACAGTGATCACACATAAGAACTGAGCTCAAAATTAATTAATTGAGGCTAAAATGGCTGTTAAAAGCTTCAGGGGATTGACTTGTCAAGGGTTACTGGAGCAGTAGGTAGGAAAGAGGTCAAGCTCTGCTTTGAAATGGAATGTCTAATTATAGAGGGAATTCTGGTAGAGCAAGAAGAACTGTTCTCTTGCACCAAGACAACTGGGATTATCCAGTGTGCAACATCCTTAAATAAGGAGTGCAGCTCTATCCAAAATGCCTCTTCCAACCCCCAGCTAGAGTTATTTCTTCCCTTTGGGAATAAAGAGGTCATAATGGTCAAGTTTTCTTACTCTGTATGTGTTTTGGAAGACTTCAGGTACCTTTTGTGGTGGCTCTTAAATATTTGATGTATACATAGATATCAAAAACATCAGGTTTTCATTTTCTGGCAGAAAAACAAGGGAATTTCCCAAGTCCATGGTAAAACAAAGCCAGTGGCTGATGCACCTGAGGGTAAATTCCCTAAGGCATTTCACATTTTCCACACAGGGATTATTTTCAATTAATTAGGTTTAGTATGAGGTTATTACAACACTTCGGTTGGTCTTAAACTCTCATTCCCACATTGGAATTTAGAGCTGTGGAAGTGAAATGAGTATGTAATAAAAGTTTTCATTGGAACACTTAATGAAGTTGACTTGAATCATGTTTAATTTGACACTGGCAGCAGTTTTAAGTGTCATTATTTTTCTTATGGGGAGATTGTACATTGCCATTTGGCATCATTGGGGTGAGATTTGCATTGTGGCTACTCCAAGGAGTAATGATATCCAAGGAGTAATGATACCCAAGGTCTCCTCTTGCTCTTTTGATAGAGATGAAAACCAGTATCAACACTGCTCTTTGAAGACATGGAGGTGACACATAACAGCTTGATTGTTCAGACAAGGGTAACACCTATCATTATGGAAATCAGGGAATGTTTCTGGTGCCTGTGGAACAGATTACACATGTGCAATTCAAAGTGCAGATCAGTGCAGCACTAAATCAGTGAGCAGTTACCTCATGTAAGCTGTGTTGTCAGCTCCTGTGTGGCTGTGCTCCTCCTTCCTGCTGCTTTCAACAAGTTGGGGTACAGTTCACTTAAATCCCAAATTCAAGTCAGTAATTTAAAGATTCTGAGCTGCTCCAGTAATCTGTACAACATGCCAAGAGCCAAAGCAGGTGTAGTTTTTGTATGCTGAATTAAAATCAACCTATTGAGGGTTTAGCAGTGCATCTCATGCTCTAGTACGTCAGTTTTTCAGTGCCTCACCAGGGTCTTTTAATTATTTTTCCCCTAAGAGCAAATTTGTTTATTCAACTCCCAAATTGTCATTGCTATTTTCATCAATATTTGACCTTTTTTTTCCCCTCAATTATTCCTCCTTCCCCCCCTAAATATTGTTAGTGTGAACTCACTCACCCAATACAGCAAATTGTACATGAAATTTTATGATGCAGTGGAAAAAGCCTGTGTGGGACTGTGGCAGTTCTGGTGGTCAGTGACACCAAATGTAACAATTAAATTTATTACCTAAAGCTTAGCTAATGTTCTGCAACAACTGCTGATGTTTTTATGAAGTATTGCAGGTAGTTCTCTGTGTACTTTGTAATTAGCCTCTATTAGCAAATCAGTTGTGGTGGGTGAACTCGTGAATTAGATGAGTTCATGAGGTGCTTTGTGTTGAAATTGAGGCAGACAGGACTATATATTTTTTTAGATTGCAGTTTTAAAACTGAAGACAAGATCAGAAGGTAAATCTATACAGTTCTTATTAGGTTATGTTTACAGAGGAAGATGTGAAATTCTACCTCGCAGAACTGGCCCTTGCTTTGGATCACCTTCACAGCTTGGGAATTGTGTACAGGGACCTGAAGCCAGAAAAGTAAAGTAAAATGTATTTTACCACTATTCTGTGTATTTTGCTTGTTGCTTTGCATTTTCCACTGTAGCAATATATATAAAAAAATTTAAAAACCACAAATATTTATGTTAAACTGTGTAAACTAATCTAAAATGCAACATGTAAATGATTTAAGTGAAGTAATATTTGCTTGTTAAAGTGATCACAGAAGTTGGATATCATAATTTTTAAGCTTCTGTTTGAAATGTTACGTGTAAACATTTTTGATGTGTTTTGGTGAATGTGAATTTTAATTTTCAGCATTTTGCTTGATGAAGCAGGACATATCAAGTTAACAGGTGGGTAACACTTATTAGTACAGCACTCTCTAACATACTTGTGTCACCTTTTCGTGTCTGGATTGTCACTTAGATAAAAATTGCAGTAAAAAGTTCTATGAGGGACAATTAAAGCAGATAAATTCTAGGAAATTATGTTTAAAAAAGGCTTTAGAAACCAAATTATTATGGATTTTTGAAAGCTTTAAATTATGTTTAAGGTGATGCTTTTTGTACTGTAGATTTCATTGTATTGATCTATCATATTGCTGTGAGATTCCAAGAGAAAATGAAGCTTTTAAACTCTTTGATGGAATAATGGGGATGGAAAATATGTTTATCAAGTGCATCCCTTGCAAACCCTGCATGATACATTTACTTCCAGTTCAATCCTAATGTTCTCACTTCCTCCTGAGACTGGAAATAAATAATGGATGGGATTATTGATTAGCCTTCTTTTCCCCTATGGAAAAAGGGATATTTAAGAGCCTCAACTTGAGAGCTGAACCAATATCAAAAACTTGTGTATTCACTGGCAGTGTTCAAACTGGGGACAAAAGACTTAGTAAAGTGAGCAGCTACACAAGTCAGTTCAGGTTGCTGAACCAATGTTGCCTGCTCTGACAATGATATTTTCAGCCTGATTTTATTCCTTCATCATCCAGTAACAGCAATCCATGCAGGCTGAGCTCCCTTTGAAACTCATTCTGGTTTCTATTCGATTTTTTTGTGTGAATAATGGTTGGACTCGATCTTAGAGTTCTCCTCCAGCCTTGATGGTTCTATGATCCTACTACTTCAGTCAGGAAAGAGAGAAAATGAGAACTTTTGATTATCTTAAGCCCCTAGGTGTGTAATACGTCAAATATTGAGTTATTTAAGTAACAATATTGATGCCTAATCATTAATTTAACGATGTCTAGAATAGTTTTAGTATTATGTAGTAAACTAAATGTCTGTGGTATCTCTAGATACCTCAGTTTCATGAATATTCCTTGAAACAACCTACCCAAAGCTATCAACACTTGGAGTTTTGCAATACCATGTACAGTCTTGTTTTGTTCTGAAGTTCTTTACTGGCTATATTCTTGTAATGCTGTTGTTGTAGACTTTGGACTCAGCAAAGAATCAGTAGATCAAGAGAAGAAGGCCTATTCTTTCTGTGGTACTGTAGAGTACATGGCACCTGAAGTAGTAAACAGGAGAGGGCACAACCAGAGTGCTGACTGGTGGTCCTTTGGGGTCCTCATGGTACTGTATGCTTCTTGCTTCCCTTGCTTAAGGTCACAAACACACTGCATTTCTCTAAATGAATGGGGAATAATGTGCTTTGAATGCTTGTCCAGTTTTAGTTGTGAAATCTTGGCTAGGGGGGAGAATTCAGTCACTCACTTGCTACTGTCATGACTAAAATTGACTTTTCACCTGTTTAACCCTGTAAAAAATGCTTAGCAGGCACCAGAAAAGTCCTGTGTGTGGTCCATTAGTAGTTTAAAACTGATGTAGTCAGTATGAAACTTGAGTTTGTGTGTTTATTTGCATGTTAATTTGTAGTTACAGCAGAAAACATACTTGAAGACTTGGTTTGAAGGATATTAGTTGCAGCTTTGTAAGAGTGAGGCTGTGGAAGGAATACAGGAGTGGAGGAGTGAAATCAGCCACTAACTGCTGGCCTGGCTGAGATGCCTTAGAGCATCAGGCTGAGAGATGCAGATTGGCATGAAAAATCAAGTGCTGTTGTAGAATTTACTCTTCTTGCTCTTCTCAGTGTGTGGCAACATCTAAAACTTGGTTGTGGAGGAGCTTTTATTACTTTCAAGTGGCTTATTGATGTAAAATATTCCTCCATCATCATTCCTTACCACTGTTATCATCATGTAAACTGTCAGGGAGAAGAGAGTATGAGATCTGTGAATATTTTGGTAATCTTTTAACAGCTCAAGCTAGTCCGATGTAGAGCTAGGGGAGGGGACAGTGCTTAACACTTGGTTTCAGCAGTTGGGGGAAGAAGTGTTGATTGAGATAACATTTGTTCTTTGCAGTTTGAAATGCTCACTGGTACTCTGCCATTCCAAGGTAAAGATCGAAATGAAACCATGAATATGATCCTGAAGTAAGTACAACTCCTTACTCAAGTCAGAAAATGTCATTTTATCGTGTTTTAGCAGCTTAGTATTTATTCAACATGCTCTAGGATAAGGTGTCCCTGCCCATGGCAGGGGGTTGGAGCCAGATGGGTCTTCAAGGTCCTTTCCAACTCGAACCACTTTAGGATTCTAGAGGCATTAGCTAGAAGAACAAAAAAGCAAAGCCCCTGAGAAGGTTTAGAACCATTAGGTATCTCCAGGGGTTAATTTGCATTTTCACCATAGGATTATAGTAAAGATAAAAAGAATACAGTGGGTTAGACCAACATTCTGTCCCATCCATGTTGTTGTATTCCCTTGCTACTGTTAGAGCACACCTTGTTTTGTAAGCAACAGGCAGTCAGGTGTTGCTGGTGTGGAGAGCACTTAGGTGCTCACAACTCTCCTCTGAAATTACCTCAGTTACAACAGAAGTTGTCTAACCAGACAAACTGGGTGAACTGGTGATTAGCAAGTGAAGCTCTTGGGCAAATATGTTCTCATCTGTCTTTGTGCTTAGCTAACAAAGAGTTTCCTCCAGAGCACAGGCAGAGCCTTGGGCCTTTGAGGGGGTGCTAGGGAAGGGGATGAGAGACAAGGTCTGTTCTCACCAGCACATGGCAGTTTGGGCTTGCCCCGAGTGTGAGTTTGGAGTGATGTTGCCTGTGAAAGAGGTTGGATTAGACCATGAGCTGCAGCTCCAAGTGATGCTGCAGTTCTGCACACGAATTTCTTGCCTTAGCAGAATAGTTTTCATAAAATAAATGATCAAGTCAGCAAGTTTCTATGATGGCTCAGTGAGCTGCTTCTTGAGGCCCTTGCTTCAAGAGGAATCACTTCAGGGGCAAAGGGTTTGGGGTTTGGTGAGTCTCTTCTGGCACTGAGTCATTGGTACAGTTATTTCAGTGGTGTGGTAACCTCCTGGTGACATGAAAATGTCTTTGAAAATACTTATGTATCCTATAGAGGTAATTATTTTGCTCTCTTTTCCATAGAGATTGCTTTGGGGGCTTGGGTGGGGTTTAGTGGGTTTGGTTTGATGTGTGGGTTTTGGTTGGGTTTTGGTTTTTTCAACCACTTATATAATGTGAGACTTAAAAGTTTCACATCATACAATGTGAAACTCTCCAAAACTTCGGAGTAGATCCTTGATAAATCAACCTGTGCAATGAAGTCAATGATAGTTTTTAGTAAGATACATTTCTTCCTCTAACTTTCTGCTCTGTTTTCTTCTAGAGCAAAGCTTGGAATGCCTCAGTTCCTCAGCCCTGAAGCACAGAGTCTCCTGAGGATGTTGTTTAAAAGGAATCCATCAAATAGATTAGGTTGGTTCATTTATTTGGCTCTTTCAATAATAACTCAACTACTTTTATTTCAAAGAAAGTAGTTGCTAGAGACTCTCAAGCTCTGGATGCTCAGTAACATTTGGTTTAGATCCCATTTCCTGTTAGCTTGGATCATGTGTTCCTGGGGTTGACTAAAGAATGATCATTTCTTGGATCAGTGACTCTTAGCAGTGAGCCAAAGCTTTGACAGTGTCAGAGCAGAGAACGTTGACTCTGTGTGTAAGGACTTGTATCTATGTGTCTCCCTGTTGAGGTGTACACTAATTAATGGAGTATTTTACATCCTTGGAATGTTGCTGTATTTACGGTTCCTCAAATTAAGTGTTCATGCAAATCTCTCAGAAATGAACTAATTTTTTTTTTCAGTCTTCAAAGACTTTACCCCAAAGCGTGTTAAATCCAGTTTTTCCTTTGTTCAGGTGCTGGTTCAGATGGAGTTGAAGAAATCAAGAGACATCCTTTTTTTTCTACTGTTGACTGGAATGTAAGTACAAAATGATCTGAATGGTACAGCTGCTCTTCATTTTTCTCTGGTTTGTAGCATTATGAGTTATTTGCATCTGAATGGAGCACAACAACCAGTGCAGCTCTGCTGAGTTACTCTGCTGTACTCTTGGCATCTGGAGTTGGAGTATTTATGGTATAGGATATTAATTACAAATCGTGCATTTGCTTTTCAAATAATTAAGAGCTGCAGCATTCCAAAGCTTAAATTGTGTGTTCGAGCATTTGTAGCAGGGAGAGGATCCTGATGTTCCTTATGTGCAGGAATCCTTCTCTTCACTGTGTGTCCGTCTAGTGCTTCCATGCAGGACACAACAGCTCCCTGTGACCACAGTTCTTTGGCTTCTCTCTAGTTAGCCATAGCACATTAGATATTAGGAAGATTTATTTTTTTCCCCTGATGTGGTGTTGAGGCCCTGGGATATTGCCCAGGGAGGTGGTGGAGTCACCATCCCTGGAGGTGTTTCAGAGGTGTCTGGATGTGGCACTGGAGGATCTGGTTTAGGGGTTCCAGCAGTGACAGGTTCTTGGTTGGACTTGATGACCTTAGAGGTCTCCTCCAACCTGGATGGTTCCATGATTCTATCCCATTCACAGTTGAAGTATTGGCTCTGGAGTTCTGAGGTGATCTGAAGTCTGTGGCAGATCACAACTCCTTGCTTGAATTTTTAAGAGCAGCTTCATGATTTTCATTTTCCTCTGTGGTTCTCTCATCTTTTGAGATGTGTTTCCCAGAAACCTCCTCAAAACCAAGGTGCTCTGTATCAAGTGACTCCCCTAGCACACACTCCTTTGCTGTAATGCCTGAGAAGGAGAGCTGCAGTAACTAACAAGTTGCTGTGCTGACAGGACTCCCAGCCATGTCAGCCAATGCTGTGCTCACCTATTTTCTCTAAAGCCTATTGTCATCCTTCTCTTCTTCTGCATTTACTCCTGACAAGGTGATTTCCTAGCTGTGTTTGTGCAGCATCTACCACAGAGTCCTGTTCAGCAACAAGAATTTTGAGTATCAGCAGAACTTCACTGTTTAATGTGAATACACTTCACAAGTTGTTGTGTTGTTTTGGCTTGATCGCATCCTTTTTTTTATGTTGAAATAAATGCTACCGAGGAAGTTTGAGAAACATCTGCAGTTCTAGCTCTTTCTTAATGTTTTTTTTTAATTTATTTGACAGTACTTTGTATTGATTTCACTCTGGTGGTGTTGATGATCAGTTCTGTGTTTTATCTCAGCTCATTATTTCTTTGAGATTAATTCAGGTTCCTTGGTGTTTTTCTGTGGTAGTTTGTTTTTTTTTTTTAATTGAAATATACTGTATGTTCTTGTGCAGAAAAATTAAATGAAAAAAAACTGCAAAAAAGGTTTGAAAGGCTGAGAGAAAAACTAAGAAAAGACTCTCAGAACTCCCTGAACTTTGCATGGGGAATCAGCATCTTCTGACATGAAGTTTTCTGTCCCTCTGCTGCAGATGGGACTTGTTGCTGATTTGAGATCACTTGAGCACTGCATTTTTCTAAAGAATTTTGAGTAAAGGAGGAAATAATTCCAGGGCTATTGTTATGCTTTCCCATACTTCCCCTGACTTAGTTTGGTGAGGAAAACCTGGAGTAGAGCTGTGAGAAGGGGCAGATCCTTCGCCAAGAGGGATGTGCCTGTAACTAGTGTGAGGACTTTGTCCTTTACCTTTTATTTTGGCAAAATTACAGCACTCACGGAAGGTTCATTGATCCTTTTCCCTTCTACTTCAGAAACTGTTCAGAAGAGAAATTCAACCTCCATTTAAACCTGCTTCTGGGAAGCCAGAAGATACCTTTTGTTTTGATCCAGAATTCACAGCCAAAACACCAAAAGGTAATTGTGCATGTTGCCTATAAATTCATAAGGGTTGTGGGACAGGAGGGTCAAATTCATGTTAAAACAACAGGCAAAAAAGCCAGTGACAAAGTTAAAAGGGAAGGATGCAACAGGGTTCCGGTGCTTTGAAGGAGTATGTTCCTGTCCTTTGAAATATTCCACTAAACTTGGATTCACACAGGAAAAAAATATAAATGGGATGTTTAACAGCTGAATTATGGTTTCTGGGTAGGATTTAAAGCCAGACATGCAGTGTTTTGGGGGAGGTATTGAATGCTAAAACTCAATTTGAGTGCAGCAGTGATTGTTTTTAGAGTCAGCATTGCACTGCCAATAGCTTGCTTTAAGAAGCATTAATTAGGATAATTGCTATTTCTTAGTCTGCTTCAAGTTTTTTGTGATTTTTTTTTCCTCTTTCCTGCTGCATCCTACTTTTAAACCCACTTTACATGTTTGTCTAGAGAAGGTTCAGTAGGCTACACAAAATTAGCTGTGCTTACTGTGAGATTTCATAGTGAATTCAGTATAATCTGAGGAAAATTTGGTTCTAATTATTCAGTAATTGAACATTCCTGTATTGCCTCATTTGTGCCTTGCCAGCAGCAAGGATCTTCGAGGTCTCCTCCAACCTTGATCATTCAGTGTTTTGCAGTTTTAGATGATAAAACCCAGAAACAATTGTTTTGTGTTTGTTATTGAAGGAAGAGAAGACACATAACAAATTAGGCATCTTGCTCATCTGATGTTACTCTTGTTTGCTTTCCTTCCCTCAAAATGTTTATTCTGGCATAGCTCTCCTGAATTAATATATTAAAAGAACAAATATTCTTGCTAACCCAATGTGTCTCACTAGATTCTCCAGGAGTCCCACCAAGTGCAAATGCCCATCAGCTCTTCAAAGGATTCAGCTTTGTTGCAACCACTACTGTAGAAGACCATAAAATATCACCACTCACCAATATCCTGCCCATTGTACAGGTAACGCTTTGGTTTTTAGCAGACTTTTTTGACATGCCAAGGACTGACCAATGTTCAGTTCTTAGTGTGTTCTTTTCTTGTTGGGGACTGCTATACATGTGCCTTATTTAAATGCTTCCATGGGGTTATTTTTTACACTGAAAAGCAAATTGCTGTTTTTCTGGAGGCAGAACTCGAAAGGGAAATCCCGGGCAAGCAGGAGAAACCTTTGCTGTCATGGCAAAGAGAATCTTGTTGTTTTATGTGACAAGTTACATGTGTTTGTTCTTTGAAGCAGCTTCATGGAAACAGTGCACAGTTCACTGATGTCTATGAACTGAAGGAGGATATTGGTGTTGGTTCCTACTCTGTTTGCAAGAGATGTATACACATAGCTACAAACATGGAGTTTGCTGTGAAGGTATTGGAATGAATTTCACTGTTTCAGTCCTGAAATTATTGTGTTGTCATTTGTCAATTTAAATGTATGAGTTTTCCAGTTCTTGTAGCTGTTTGTAAGTTACAGTTTTGAAGCCTGGAAATGCTGTATGTGAAATAAATAAGATTCATGAGGGTGGAACTGGGCTGCAGAGAATTAGTGATGCTGCAGACAGTCCTTGGCATTTCCCTGCCCACTGGAGCAGGGCAGGCTGCATTAATGATATAATTCTAACAAGGAGGGAGCAAGACTTGAACAAACAGTAGGATGTGGAGCTGGAAGATGAATTAGTGATTAGGAAGAAGTAGTGAACCCTAGAAATGTTTAGTTCTGTGATTGAAGTAAGAATATAAATACAGCAAAAATGTCTTTATTTAATTTTTGTTTAGCCAAGTTGATTTTCCTGTTACATTTTATTTATTCTATTTTGCAGATAATTGATAAAAGCAAGAGAGATCCCTCAGAAGAAATTGAGATCCTCATGCGTTATGGACAACATCCAAATATTATCACTTTAAAGGATGTAGGTACCTCTTTCTCTGCTGCCCCTTAACACATAGTGCTCAGAAAGTACACGCAGATGTAGAGAGTTTATTTGGATTCATTGCACTCCTTTTCCAGAGTTAAATATATTGGGAGAGCCATAGATATATCTATACACACACTTATGTATGTATTTAAAAATACAATGTTGTCCTGATAGTAACTTTTTCTAGAGGCTGTTAAATGAACTTGAAGTGAGGAATGGTGTAAAGGTTGGAAATGCTCTATTTATGCTCTATTTATTCTTATTGCAAATGAATAGCTAATGTGTTGGTAATCTGAGCAAGCACTTGCACGTTGTCCTGTATATGCAAAGTGCCAGCAGCTAAAATCTGTCTGTGGAAGGGAAGAGGAACAGGGAGTGGTTGGGCTACTCTCTTCTTCCAACAGAAGTTCTTAGGCTGGAAAATTTAATTGAGTCATGAATTAACAACTGATTACCTCAATATGAGCCAACGGTGTGCACAGGCGGCCAAGGAGGCCAAGGGCACCTTGGCCTGGCTGCAGCAGAGTGTGGCAGCAGGACCAGGGCGGTGCTCATCCCCCTGCCCTGGGCACTGGGGAGGTCCCAGCTCAGTGCTGTGCTCAGCTTTGGACACTCCCTGCCCAAAGGCCATTGAGGCACTGGAGTGAGTCCAGCCAAGGGCAACTAGGGCAGCAAAGGGCTAGAGCACATGGGCAAGGCCTGAGGGAGTTGGGCTTGGTCAGCCTGGAGAAGAGGCTCAGGGGTGACCTCCTGGCTCTCTGCAACTCCTGCCAGGGCTGGAGAGAGGTGTGGGATGTGTGTCCTGCCAGGGCTGCAGGGAGAGGATAGAGGGAATGACCTTGAGCTGAGCCAGGGCAGAGTCAGATTGGATGTGAGGAGAAATGTTTTCCCTGTGTGGTGTTGAGGCCCTGGGATATTGCCCAGGGAGGTGGTGGAGTCACCATCCCTGGAGGTGTTTCAGAGGTGTCTGGATGTGGCACTGGAGGATCTGGTTTAGGGGTTCCAGCAGTGACAGGTTCTTGGTTGGACTTGATGATCTCAGAGGTCTCCTCCAACCATGATGATGCCACACTTAACTCTAACAACTCTGAGGATGACACATAATCTGTCTGATCCTTCATGCTGTGCCAGTCCCTGTTTGTGTTCCGTGTTCATATGGGAGTGGGTGAACAGTCGAGTCTGAAACTTGAATTTATCTGGATATGCAATTATAGATTAGCTTTTTAATAGATACGTGTATTTATATGCCCTTTTCAAACTTCCTGTCAGGTGTATGATGATGGTAGGTTCATATACCTTGTGACTGAGCTGATGAAGGGAGGAGAACTGCTCGATCGCATCCTGAGGCAGAAGTTCTTCTCGGAGCGCGAGGCCAGTGCTGTGCTGTATACCATAGCCAAGACTGTGGACTACCTGCACTGCCAAGGGGTGAGTGATTCCTTCTCTGGCACATCTCTTAGTCTTAAAATCCCTTTTGCTGTGTGCTTGGCTTGGCTTTGTGGCAGAGGGGAAGAAGGTTTTGTGTTTCACAAAGGTGAATAATACAAACAACTCATCCTGTTATTCTGCCAAACCCTTTTGACTCTACTTTTCCAGCTTATGAAACAGTAGGTGTTTATTCTCTTGTCCTTGTTGGCAAGTGGTTATGTCAGTTACAGTTGCACTGGGAGGCGGTAGGTTGGTTTTTTTACAGTACTTGAATTTTTTGCCACTTGAAAATGACATAGCATACAGAACTGTTCCTAAGTATATTCATGTAGAGAGTAGCTTTTATACATTGCAAATTACGTACAAACAAACACACAGGCTGCTTCTACATACAGCTTTTCAAATCTCTCTGTTTGAAGGTGGTGCATCGAGACCTTAAGCCTAGTAATATTTTATATACTGATGATTCAAACAATGCTGATTCCATCAGGATCTGTGATTTTGGATTTGCAAAGCAACTTCGAGGAGAAAATGGGCTACTTCTCACTCCCTGCTACACTGCAAACTTTGTGGCACCAGAGGTATTTTAAGCTGTGTGTTTTCTTTATGCTGTGTTTGATTCCTCAAATGCTGAAAGTTTTTAGCGGTGCTTGGGGGGAAAAAAAAAAAAACTGAGAGAAAACTTCTGCTAGTTTTCTTTAAATATAATAATATATACACTGCTGCATGTGTTTGTTACAAACCTGCTTCAAAAATAGCAGAGTCCACCCTCAAAAATAAGATGTAAGCCTGGTGGAAATCTGAGGGGATGATGTTTTGGGAACAGGAAATATTGTTGGTACTTACTGCAACCTGTATAGTGACAAATCAATAGGCAAAGCTCTGAAATGATCCAGGGGTTGACTTACCCCTCCTTGGTCTCTGTGGTGGTGTTGGTTTGGGCTGGTTTTAATGTATGCTAAGTCTTTCACACTCTTTATTCCATAGGTTCTCATGAGACAGGGATATGATGCTGCTTGTGACATATGGAGCTTGGGTGTTCTGCTTTACACAATGTTGGCAGGGTGAGAAAGATTTCTCAGCTGTTTTGTTTACCTAAAATTCCAGCATGAATCCTTGATTCCATTAAAATTGTTATCTCTTACCTCATTGAATGATACAGGCACTCAGGGAGAAGAGGAAGCTGTAAGTAAATCCAGACATAAACTAGGCTTATCTTAAAAGTAGGTTCAAGGAAGCCTTTCCACAGTACATGTCTGGGGGATGCTAAACTTTCCCCAGTTTCCTGGAGAGAATTTAGTCTGTCAAGTGTGTGGTGGTTTCTTTTTATCCTTCTGCCTCTTGTCCTCCCCACCTTACACCCTTGTAGTTATCTTCTTGTGCCTCCTGCTCCAGGCTGGACTCCTGCCCTTGTTGTAAGGACACACTGGCTTGTAATCTCTTCGGTTTTCCAAGCCTCCAAACTTTGATGAAGCTCTTGGAAGCATCTAGTGGCCAAATGATAAAAGGTTTTGGAATTTTGCTCTAACAGAAGAGTAGCAGATTTTTTTTGCCTTATGGCTAGGTACTATTTATTGGACATTATTCTCCTGATAAATCCATCCTTCTCCTGTAACATAAGTAGTGTTTAATAGCATACAATGTGTTTCTGTTGGCAGTGGGATATCTACACTGATTCACAAGATTATACCAACTTCTTGCAGTTTTTTTTACCTATAACAAGTTGTTCTGTTTTTTTTTTCTTTCCACAGCTACACTCCATTTGCCAATGGCCCTAATGATACTCCTGAGGAGATCCTAGTAAGGATAGGCAGTGGGAAATTCTCTCTCAGTGGAGGCAACTGGGACACAGTTTCAGATGCAGCAAAGGTGTGAATGTGTTTTGAGTTTATATTTTGATGGCATTATATATATTGAATCCAAATCAGGTGTTTGTGGGATCCCTTTAGTGGAAGGATGACTTTTTACAGTATCTCTTAGTTCTAGTAGCTAACCACTCTGCCATTAATCTTTTGTAGTGCAATTTCTTTGTTGTTCAGTGCTGAAGTGTTTTGTCTTTGTTAGTGCTTTCAGCAATTAAACTAGGACTTGAACAAGCAAATAGATGTGGATATCTTGCCAAAAATCTTTATCAGCTTGTCCTTTAGTTAATTATCCATATCTTCACCAATTGCTGTGTGTGTTCCCTGGGGTTGGTGTTGGTCTGTTCTGTAGGTATCTTAATCACCAGTGTTAACCCTTTTATACAGATTGGCATTAGTACTGACTACTCATATTTAAGCATCTTTTCCTGATCCTTTGGAGCTGCACTGTTTGTTCATGTCAGTAGGAGTGATTCAGAGTGCTTGTTGGCTCCTGCTGTCTGAGCACAAGTAACTCACTTCTGTGTATTTAAGAATGCTTAACATTTTGTACCTAAAACAAAGGGAACATTCTGTCAGCTTGTTCGTGTTTTGTTTCCCTTTCACACTATTCCTGTCTGTTGTGTCCTTTCTACCAGCTCTTCTTTTGACCAACATTGTCATTAGTAGCTTATTGCTAATGCTAACAGGCAAAAACAAGTGTCCTTTGCTGTTGGCTTTATTCTTTGTGGCTCCTTGAAGGAAAAATTCCTTGCTGGTGTATCCCTGTGTCTGAATTCAATTGTAGCATGTAGTCAGCAGCTCCCAAATGTGTCTAATCATAGAATCAACTGGGTTGGAAG